AATGCTTTTATAAGGTGTTGTAAGTGCATGAACGCTGCACATGGGTCATTTTAGTCCTGGTAGGTGGTTGCCAGGCAACATGATAGCATCATGTCACATGGATAAAAGTTATATCTGTGTGATGTACCTATGTGCCAAATTTGGTTCATTAGGTGTCAATCTTGTGGAAGGAATTCACAGGCAAACAGAGACACAGAAATTTAATTTGTTATAGTACGATTAGTTGGATATATTATTAGTTTACACGTGAACTCTTTCCTTTATCTGTAAAACATATTCTAATGTAATCTAATTCATTATGGATTATAATAACTTTTATACCAAAAAAAAAGTTAGACACGTAAATTGGACAAACACAGATTTATATAGATTGTTCTTGTGCTTGTCTTTTGCTACTTACAAAATAAATATTCCGTGCGGAAACACACAAACTCTTTACATAATTGAAATTTCTGAAAATTCCTAAAAACAGATTCGTAATTAATTAATTACGAATCTGTTTTTAATTATGAAAAAAAATTTGCCAGCAAATCTGTAAGAAATCAAAGCCTTTAATGTTAAAAAAAGGTTCATATATTTTCCACACATTTCCAATGTTCTAGCCATGCCAGAACAGATGTGTAAGAAACATTAGTTAAAAAGATTACAAAAGCAAATTTAAATATAAGGGTCATTATGTACAGTGAGTTATAAACAGAAGATGTCGTGTTAAACACAACCACAGGGACACTAAATAAACCGGTGTTGTTTGAGTGAAGACACAGGTACATGTGGTACGGGTACACTGAACTGTGAGGGTAATCGTGACTTTCTGACTGAGTTGTGCTCTCTGTTTCTGACAGGTATGGATGAGCGGACCACCCAAGCATCTTGGACCCCAGGTGGCGAGTCCAGTCCTTCCTATGAGTCCAGTCCTTCTTATGAGTCCTCACGGGTAAGATGACCCACACGATAATGCTCCTGAGTGACCTTTCTGCTCCACAGCACATCGTTTAACACTTACTATAACAAAGACCTTATCCCAGCACCATTGTTGCTGTTGGACCTATGATAGACATGTATTTGTGTGACAGACGGGACCAGCAAAGGTTAGAAAACACTGGAATCTGGTGTTATTCTTGAGCTTCTGTTTAGTTTAAAAAATATTTCAGTTCAGGCTATATTTAAATGGTGCTTGTTATTCATTTCCACAATGAGGCAAGGTCTTTTTCAATAACATAATAAGACTTTTGATAAAGGGATTGATAAAATAATCCAATCCCTGTCAGAAAGTAGATGACTAAATTAAAGATATAAATGAAAGATTAAAAAAAATACCCTGTCACGATTTTGCAAAACTAAATCGGCAGTTTGAGTGTCTAATACTGAGAGTAGTGAAAATATCCGCATGTTAAATTAAATATGGGTTTGTTTCTCCTTTTGTTGGTTAATTGAACAAAATATACTTATTTTTAAATCATATAAAACAGAGAAATGCAGGCAAAATAATCTAATTTGAGAATGTAAAATGCCAAGGATTAATCTGTTACCAAAATAGTTGCAAGATTTTTATCTGTTGATCCACTGATTCAGTCAGAAAACTGAGCTTCAGAATAAGCAGGTGCTTTTTGCCGTACATTTAAAAACTTTACTCTCCATGAAAACAAGACAATATTATGTTTATTATGTTATAAGCTGCATTGCAGGGAAATATGGTTTGTGATCATCTCCGCAGGCCAATCAGCCTGTCTGTAAATGTAAATGTTTAATGTTAGTCCTTTTTTAAATCATGGCAAATGGTGGACTTTAAAATTAAAGGATCAACTTATTCATGGCTGCATATCCAAAGATATTTACAGAAAACAATATTTTTAGTTATTTTCTTCATTCTGTCCATAACTAATATCTGCTGATATCCAGCACTCTGCTACCCTGCACTATGCACAGTTAGTTCAGTACAATTTAGCCTATGATCTCAGGCCTGTGTGAAGTAGAAATGAGAAATTTGTTTAAATTTGTCACTTTAAGGAGTGTAAATTAACATGATATGTCATGGAATTAAATTTTTTTAAAGGTCATGTAGCTTTATTTGTGATGACCTAATCCACTGTAAATCGTATCTTCAAAATATTCTCAAGTGTAGTTCATTTGTAAAATAATGAACAAGATGTGTGCATGTTCATTTCCATGTGAAACTGTATCTCTTTGTTTAAGTGAGAACATCTCACTGTTTGTGTGAGCAAGTGTGAACAGCTCTCCCCGTTTGTTTGTCCCTCACACATTGGTTGTTCTAGATGCCCTGTATGAATTTCATTTAATGTCAATCTCCTGTCACTTTCTATTAGAATTCAGTTAAATGTCAGAGCCACTCGAGCTGCGTTACCTTGTTTATTTCTCTGTGCCCTTCCCGAATGAACATCTACAGGCTATGGTAACATAGGCAGCTTGATTTGAATTATAAGACTGAGACGCTTGAGATATCTTTGCTCCAGGTGCATATAAATGAGTGATTCTGACATTACAAGGCACACCATCAGCCAGCAGACAGCTGTTTGCACCTCCATAAGGCGTGCATGTCAACACTCACACACAGCTGCGTACGTACCTTACAGATTTGATTTATATACCCTATAGAATATTATATCCCGCATATGCTGGGTTAGGAAAGAAGTGGCATTTCTTGTAAAGCTCAATAGACTATAGTAATCTGTCCAGACAGATTCAGGTTTTTCAATGAATAATGTATTTTGAGATTTTTTTTTAATACAGTTCACATAGTTTTGATGTCTGCTCGCAAACATTGTTGACCATCTGAAAGGTGACCTAATTAGATTCAAAGAAAAGCTGCATATTTTTAAAAAAAAAGTTTTTTTGTTATTATTATTTACCGCAAGAAAAATACTCATGAAATAACTAAATAAAAGGAAAGAACTGAATTAAAAACGAATAACAAAAAATTTCACAAAACCAAAGCCTAAAGAAAATAATAAATACATCATCAGTTAGGGCTGCACGTTTAATCGTTAGAAAATCGCGATCTCGATTCATACTTATGTGCGATCTCATTTCCAAATGACAACGATTAAAAAAAAAAAAAAAAGACGACGACGATTGTACCGCATTTTGATGCGGGACGTAATCTGCATGAAAACAAGCGCTCACTCTTCCTGCTCAACAAATGACAAGGGCGGAGCCTTATACCACGTGATACAGAAGCTGTGCCGTGTGATGCTAAAATTAGCAGGGAAAAAACAACGGAGAGCACGTCAGGGATGACGAGAAAGTGACTGGAGAAAATCCGTCCCGGTCAACCACCCAAACACCAATAACGGGAACCTTATGCAGCGCTTCCCTATACACGTCGAACTCCCGCAGGCACAAAGAAATTACGGAGGCTATCACTTATCACCTGACCAAAGATATGGCTCCTATCAACACTGTGCAAAATGAGGGATTTAGGGAAATGATCAACACCCTAGACAAACGCTACACAGTGCTGTCCCGCAACTATTTTTCTATTGTTGCACTACCTGCTCTATGCACGCAGTGTCGAGCAACGGTGGAGACGGAATTTCAAGCAGTACAACATTTTGTGGCAACAACAAAACGTGAGACATTTGTTGTTTTAATGTTTATTTATTGTTTTTATGTTCAGTTTCAACTGTTACGAAGTTGATGTGCAGTTAATAAGTGCAATAAATATTTATATTGGAAAAGAAAATCGTGAGAGAATCGTGATCTCAATTCTAAGCCAAAAAATCGTGATTCTCATTTTATGCAAAATCGTGCAGCCCTATCATCAGTGCAGAGAAATTGTAAGGCTTGTAAATATTCCATTGCTTTCCTGGTAGCTTTCTTCTGTGTTATATAAATCATATGTCATAGGTTTGGAGACAAAGTTAGAGAGTGAAGGTTGAGATGTTTTGGGCATGTGCAGAGGAGGGACAGTGGATATATTGGACAAAGGGTCCTGAGTATGGAGCTGCCAGGGAGAAAGAAAAGAGGAAGACCGCAGAGGATGTTCATGAATGTAGTGAAGGAGGACATGCAGAGGGTTGGTGTGACAGATGAGGATGCTAGGAATAGGATGATGTGGAGGCAGATGATCTTCTGTGGCGACCCCTAAAGGCATCAGCTGAGAGAATAAGTATCTCATATTAAACATAGCTGAAGTTCAATATAGTGAAGTCAACATACAGTATGTACAGTTAATCTCTCACGGATGATAGTGCTTACATTGCATACATTGAAAAAAATTATTTTGAACATGTGCAATGGACTTCAATCTTGTTACTTTTGAAATGATTGCATTGAGACGAGGACCTGGTCTGTGACTGTTTCAATGAAGTTTTATATAGCACTAAATTACAACAGCAGTTGCCTCAAAGTACGTTAAATTGTAAGTTAATGGCCCTACAATGATACAGAGAAAACCCCAACCATCAGACGACCCCCTCAGACCAAGCACTTGGCGACAGTAGGAAGGAAAAACTCCCTTTTAACAGGGAGAAACCTCCGGAAGAACCAGGCTCAGGGAGGGGCAGTCATCTGCTTCAACCGTTTGGGGGTGAGGGCAGGGAAATAGAACAAAAGACACACTGTGGAAGAGAGTCAGAGTTTAAGAATTATTAATGATTAAATGCAGAGTGCTGTATAAAGAAATGGTGAGTAAAGAGAGGTGTCTGTTGCTGTCTTTCATTGATTTTGGTACATCAAGACACGACAAGACTGATGCCTGCTGTCTATATTCCCAGAAATTCACATTAAAAAGAGATTCAATTATTAACCACTTCTGGTCCTGTTAGAACCTCATATAGAATAGAGAACATAACCTTTCAACCAGTTGCCAACCAGTTGAGTTGGGTCCCCACTGCAAAGAGATTCATTGCAGATGACTTAAGCTCACTGGCACAGACTGACTAAGATTGATTACAGTGTGCTGGCAGTCCATCTATGTTTATAAATTAGACAGTGGTTACTTATAAAGCGCCACTCATCTGTGAGTGATTGCGTGCAGTCCAAGTCAGACCATGACTTTTTGGAGACACTTTGCTACGTATTGTGCAATCACTTTGTGATCAAAAGTGGTCACCCTGAGGTTAAGGGTGTTGCATGTGCAGTAAGCATTCAGTGCGGTCACAGGGCAACCAACTGATTTTTCCTGTCACAAGGAGGTTGCTGTAGGTTTTTACTGTTGAATGACTGAACCATATCATGGTCATCTCAGGCACCAAAGGCTGCTATTGAAACTTAATGTTAACAAGGTGCAGCACAATGTTGGCTTAAAGAGTGTTGAACTAAAAAAGCTTGTTTCAGTGAATGAACTAAACAGGTGCAGTAAAGAAAAATTATAAGGTAAAATAGGGAATATTTTAAACTTGAAATCATGCAAAGCTACTGTAGTAGAATGAAAGAATAAAAATATAGGGGCACACATGAGCATAACGGTCCACTTTGAGGCATAACTGCACTAAATATTAATATCACAGCAAAATCTCCTCATGTCATGATATATGTGCTTGTTGCACGGCATAGCTACGAGAACACTGCTTTAATTTACATTTTAAACAGCAGCCCCGACCACAAGCGCTGACCAGACGTCACTACAGGAGTCTCAGTAATGGTGGGCTGTTAGTAGGTAAACCGTAACACTGTTCTTGGCCAGGCAGGCAAAGGAAACCACAGCAACCAAAGTCTGAACACAGCATGGCTGAAGTAATAACCCCAGCACTACTAAATAAATGACTGTGTTTGGCAGTACTGAACTCACTGAAGAAGCCATAGTGTTCATGTGCTTTGTAATTGATAACAGCTAAATAATGATTGATTAGCATAGTGTTTTGCTTAAATTTACCTAAATGAAAGCTTTAAAATAATGAGGCACCTGCAGTGGAAATGGATATGATGTATGATGCAAATTTGTAGACAGGCTAAATATTAACATTGTTATTTTCA